ATCAGCTATAAAAGATGTGTATGGAAAAGTGCAGACAGATCCAGGCAATATTCTGGAATGCTGGAGGACTTACTGCCAAAAGTTGTACACAGACCCAGATGAACACTCTGACAATAAAAGCAGGTATGGTTGACAGGAACCAGGAATTCTCTCTGAGGAAATTGAACAGGCAGTGTCAAAGCTGAAAAACAATAAGGCACCCGGATCAGATGAAATCACTGCAGAAATGTTAAAACTATCTGGAGATAAAGGAGTAAAGATCTTATGGAAACTGTGTAATTAAATTTGGACTACAGGAGTATGGCCTGAAGACTGGGTGGAATCAATCTTCATACCACTTCGCAAAAAAGGGTCTACCGAAGACTGCAGTAACTACCGCACYWTCTCACTCATCTCACACGCCTCCAAAGTCCTACTAAACGCCATTCATGCAAGACTGAGGTACTACGTAGATAGTCAAATACCTCCGGAACAAGCKGGTTTTGTCAAAGATAGAGGAACACGWGAACAAATTTTGAATACACGCCAGCTCATAGARAAGAGTAGAGAATTCAATCAACCACTGGTATTGTGCTKCATTRACTATAACAAAGCTTTTAACTGTGTRCAATGGAGGAAACTATGGATAGTCATGCAAGAAATGGGAGTCCCTGAACATATCATTCACTTAATCAAGAATTTATACACAAAATCAAAAGCAGTTATCAGAGCGCAAAATGCAGTATCAGATCAGTTTCAACCTACTAAGGGTGTTCRACAAGGATGCATTTTATCACCTATTCTCTTTAATATCTACAGTGAAGCAGTATTAAGAGAATCACTCCAGGAATGGAATGGTGGAGTAGTTATTGGAGGTAGAAAGATCAATAATTTGCGGTTCGCGAATGACACTACATTATGCACCAAGTCTGAATTGGAGATGAGCCAATTAAKAAAGCGTGTTGAAGAACGAGCAATAAGTATGGACTGACAATCAACATRAGTAAAACAAAGGTTATGGTTATAAATCGAGCAGGAGTATTATCACACACCAATGTACTGAACAACTACCAAAAARTGAATGAGTTTACATATTTAGGTTCAATTGTACAAACAGATGGCGGATCATCCAGAGAGATCAAGCGTCGCGTTACACTCGGGAGAGAAGCAGTTAGCAGATTAACACCTATTTGGAAGGATAATCATATCTCCAGGAATAGCAAGTTACGACTGCTCAAGGCACTCACCTTCTYAGTGATGCTCTATGGATCTGAAACATGGACACTCAAAGCAGAGGACGTAAAGCGCATAAACGCATTTGAGATGTGGGCCTACAGACGGATGTTGAGAATCTCTTGGATGGAAAGAAGAACCAACTTCTCAATTTTGGTCATGCTAAATATAGGAACAAGACTGGCAGTGGTGTGTAAGCAGAGGATCCTAAGATTCTTTGGCCACATTATAAGAAGGGATGAATCGAGCCTGGAGAATCTAGTGATCGAAGGAAAAATAGAAGGAAAAAGAAGCCACGGAAGAACACCAATAAGTTGGATAGACCAGATCAAAGCCATCAYTGGCTATCCACTGGGGGAGGCCATTCAATCGGCAGAAAATCTTGAGATCTGGAAAGGGATTGTTGCCAACGTCAAATGATGGGTCACCAAACTTTCGCTTTTGGAAGACGGAYWACAGAAGAAGATTCAAATCCAATCTCGAYAACTTTGTATATGTTTATAATATATTTTATCTATACGGGGCACATAATAATAGTTATAATAAAGCATACGTCATATTATATACTTACATATACATACGTCATACATGCACTTGTAATTTTGACAACCGCCGAAGCGAACAAAAAAATACGTTGACGGTACGTATTATACCTACTACACAATAATAGGTAAATACATATAAAATATAAATAATATGTACATAACATACCTACCTCTTAAGTGAATTGATTTTTTTTTCGTAAATACATACACATATTACAATAATAATATGTTTATGACTTTTGAATCTGGAGAAAGATAAAATATATAACTACGGTATTGCGCAAATTGTATACTATTGTGTTTTCGTTGGATTTTCAGAACTCATTCGACCTATATTTATGAAAAAAATGTGTGAGTCG